TGATTATTAACACCTCAAATATACTTCCAGTAGTTAGGATAATGTAGATCAGCCATGAAGGAATCCGTGCTAAAATTGGTGAATGAATGACTTTACTTACGGTAAGTGATAAGAATTTTTAAAATTTGCGCCCTCTATTGACGAGCAAAGATATATAGTCAATGAAGGTTTTACAAATACAAATGGAGATTTTACGAATACAAATGGGATTTTACAAATACAAATGAAGTTTTAAGAATACAAATGGAGATTTTACAAATACAAATGCAGATTTTACAAATACAAATGCAGATTTTACGAATACAAATGAAGGTTTTACTAATACAAATGAAGGTTTTAAGAATACAAATGGAGATTTTACGAATACAAATGAAGGTTTTAAGAATACAAATGGAGATTTTACGAATACAAATGAAGGTTTTACTAATACAAATGGAGATTTTACGAATACAAATGAAGGTTTTAAGAATACAAATGTAGATGATGAACCAAACCAAACCAAATACAGTTGACTAACGTAAAATATCCATTGTCAAAATATATGTCCAATTTCTCCTCCCATGGTTTGAAATATTACATCACTAAATGCCTCTACATGTGCATCATAATTATGCTTGGGGATTAATCATGACTCTGGGAAATGCTATCACATTATTTGATCTGAGTAAACGACTTATGGCATAGTTCTCAGCACAGTTTCCATAAGGATATGTTTTGTCATCATCTGGATCAGTTGGAATGAAACTGACAGTGGGGTATATGCGTTTGCAAACCAAACATGGCGATTTCATGAAGATGCCATTAATATAGTGTCTTGCACGGTTATCACCCACTCTATCTCTGCCGATGTCATCAATCTGGTATGCCATGGATGTAACTGACCTACGTCGCTGAAAACCGACAATGGTGTTTCCTTCAGTTCTAACAACTTCGGCGACTGCTGGATGAAACCAATTTGCTACCAATCCATCAATGAAAACACGACGAAGTGCAAAATTGCCGTATCCAATGGCATTACCACCCCAAAATGATATGTTGCGTTTCCTCAGTGTTGCTTTGCATACTGTTCTTGCCACTAGCATGTTGTTTTGATTATCACTCAGCTTAAGCTTATTCTGGTACTGCTGCAACTTTGATAAGATTGTGTGCTCGTCATCACCATGGAAAAGTTGTACCTGACGAGAAATAGCAGATGATTTACCTCATTTACAAATCATTATAATGACACACGGAGTCACAGAATGGGGATTGTCGTGACAAATAATTTAAGAATGTCTTTTCACTACCATTTGTAATTCAAATTAGAAAAACAGACCGACTTTACTGTTTCATTTACGTGTGCGTCGTTCTTTGCAATGTACCAGCAACATATGGTAGAACCATCAATTTTAACTTATTAATGAACAACCCAATATACTGAGTACTGTTGATGAATTAAAGCGATTGGTAATAGATAGATTCTTCCATTATATATTATTTTAGAATCGTGAAAATTGTTTTATTACAATCAAAGCTGCAATTATAAAAGGTAGTTAAAGCATCACAATCATGATGCAGTTTTCATTTTTTTACCTAGAAAACACTAGTTGTTAGATATTTTAATCATAAATTGTTCATGCACTATTGAGCGGCTAAGTCAGCATATTTCATAGAAATATGAGATGGTCACATTTATTATGTATTTGACAATGACTCTTCCACCGTTTTCCGTTTAACCCCTAATATTGAACATAATACCAACCATTTCTATCAGTAAGGTATACGGAGGTCGTGGCACAGGCTTATTCATATCAATTCTGCATCGTAACGTCCGAATGGCATTAGCAAGTAATGGCGGGACTTGACGGCCATAATAGTTCACTGCTAACTGCAAACTCCGTAGAAGCTGGTAACAGAAACAGAAAATACGGTTTGTAAAATTCATATAATTTTTAAAAATACTAAGGATATCTTGCAGCCACAAATATTCCTTTTAAATATAACATACTTGTTGCTTAACATGACACTGACACATCCTTTAACCTTTCCGCACATTGTATACTTGACAATACGTTCTATGTATAATTTAGCAGCACCTATTATGAAGGTAAACAGATATTATCCTAATGATCTCACACCCATATCGAACAAACAGACAGTGGTATGTAAATATAACATTTAATATGCATTAAAGTTTGTATTGTCGGCAATATATCGAATTCTCTTTACATTTTGAAAAATATTATGGGAAAATCAATGTTTATCAACACAAATGTTGCACATGCGCATCGCCACGACCACCCTTTTACGGAAATACAAAAGAAGTGCAATTAAAGCCACAAGCGGCGTCAGCGGGCCTAAAATATCAGACATGTTCCATGGTTTATGGTCACTCAATTGACATTAGGGTAGTTTGAATGATCTGTACCATAAAGTCGAAACGCTGTTTGTTCTATTGGTTTTACTTGGTTTGGTTATCGAGATATGGTTTTCAGAATGCAAAGTGAGTCATGTGCTTATGCATATTAATCAGGTTACATGATCGTATACGGCCATCTATTATGTTAGTTACATCCCATGGGCGCCCAGTCACATGACCTAGCCATGTGTGCCATTCTGGTGAAAGAATGTATCTCAAGTGTAAAATGCACAAACAAAATCAGAACCTAATCAGACCAGTACTACACATGTAAATGCACGATACCGAAGATGGCGGCCAAACCATGAGACTCATTGATTTTTTTTTTTTTTTTTGATTTTTCTTATATGGAGGTATGGCCAGACATGTTATATACAATATAACTAGTTGATAGGTTGAAGCACCTTTGGGAAACAAATGTCCATTTGGTCATTTTTACCTAAAATCCAAGATGGCGGCCAAACCACGTGACTGATTTAAATTATATTATTTTTCTCATATGAAACTATGGACAGATATGTTGTGAAGCACCTGTGAGCAACACATAACCAAACTGTTAGCCAATTTTGAAAGAGTTTATTAGAGAGCTGCAATGTAGCAGATAAGAAGATGGTCACATTGTGGCTTGAGTGAAAAAAAAACTTCCTGTTTAAAAGAAATCCAAAATAGCGGTCAAACCACGTGACAAATCATAACAATTTTTTCAAACATAAATGTGCTTTATATATAGAAGCTAAATACTATATATGAGAGCATTTTGCTTGGTGGTTCTGAAGAAGAAGATTTTCAAGCGGTTTTTTTTCCTCGTTTTTTTGGAGAACAAACATGGAGGAAAAAGTTGAAGTTTACGTTTAGAATTTTATTGCTGATATCTATCACACACGAGTTTTTCTATATGCCATAACAAATCTGATCGCCTAGACCCTCAGAAAGTTGTCAAACAGCGACTTCTGGTTTCATTCAATTTCAATTACAATCCAATATTGTTGGTGAACCAAATGGCCAATACAAATTTTAAAGTCTTATCCAGCAGTTCACAATGGGGACAATAATTATGGGGACTTTCTGACTATTCCGTTCAGCGGTTTTCTTAAACACTTGGCGAAAAAAAATTACGGAAGCAAGTAGGAAGGAAGAAAGAAAAAATGGACGAGAACAATAAGGGCTTAGTCCTTCGGGCTTGGGTCCCGTATAAAATTAAATTTTAAAACAGAGTTTTGAGAGAAACAAAATTGAAATATTACACTTTAGTTTAAAAAGAAGTGTCGCCTGGTTAGATTGACCATCAATCAATGCGTCAAAATAATGGTGACACAATATAATTAGAACGTTGCTTTACATGAGATCATGTCTGATGTCAGTAGATAAACAAATAATTTGGTTAAACATTACCAAAGATGCAATATTTGACAGTAATTGCAAATCAATATATTGTGTATACACGTTGATACAATTGTATTACATATGTCGTGTGTATCAACTCACCTCATGAACTAAAACAGTCAGTTCTGATTGTAATTTCACGTCGCCGCGAGCTGCACAAACTGGTAGTAATGGTAAAATATCGGTGTGTAGTACATGTATGAACTTATTAACACATACAGCAGTTTGCACCCCGTACTGCGCTGCTCTGGCTTGAAAGGTCTGGTTCATTCTCAGTGTATCATTCGATAGTTCCCATTCTATAGTAATGTGTTGACCTCGTGATCACGTGATTGCCAATATACTACGAAATTATCACGATGACAACATATTTCAGGGAATTTCAATTGTCTCGTTTAGTTTCCAGTATACCTCTGATCAGAGTCATCTTGATAGTTGAAAGCGCATGCGCGTATGTAAAAATCGCGCCGTGTGCTCAATAGTTCGATCTTCGTTTGTACAGTACCCAGGGTACAGTATCGAAAGACACTGTGGTAAGCATATTGAAATCCTTTTTGTAAAGTTAGTGTTATATATTAGTGATTTTCGCTGTTAGGCAATAGATATACAAAATGATATTTGCCAGGCTTGACGTGTGACGTGTCGTCATTAAAACGTAACTGTTTAGTATTTGTTATATTAACATGTCTGTGTGTCTCTAATGCTCTTTTTATAGTGACGTTTCTGTATATCGTCATAAATACGCAGAACTATTGAAAATAATCGGAACTGTTTTGTGTTTTCCTTGCTTCAGGTAGATCTCCGATCTGAAAACACATACGGTGTAATGGCGGAGTGGAAGTCTGAATCCTCCGCTGACAATGACGACCTGTGTACCGACTGTGCACCTGAAACGCCACCCATTACACCACACGATATGTTTCCGATGCATTCAAAAATATTCCCAAAACGAACGGAATTACAGTCATGGCACAGAGAGCTGAAAACTGACACCGTTGTTGGTGACTGTCAACCATTAACGCCACCGATATTTCGACACGAGACAATGAATCCCATGCAGTCAGGTATATTACTTACAACACACCCTCAAATCGAGACAAAACAGTCACAGGAACATAACAAGAGTTCACCTAAGGTAGCCGATGGTGAAACATTCGCTAAATTGCTTTCAGACGCTTTACCTTCGAGTGCAGCTTTCCGCAAAATAATTACAGACAATATGAATCAACAGATACAGGTCGGACAAAGAACTTTGCTTATTCATCCCGGTTTACCGGACGCCCTGGAGGTCTTACAATGGGAATTTGAGAAAGTATACGTTGGTAAACCGCTCCATATGGTGGGCTACCTTGATCGCATTGGCTCGGATAACTACATCGTGGTTGACGATATCGGTAATGTTTACAAAGCTGAAGACACAATACTACGTGTTGTAGGGGAAAATATCGAAAAATATTTCGCTGACGGTCTTGAAACTGATGAATATTATGACTATTACGGTTATTTAGACAAGGAAAAGAGTCGGCAATGTGTTGCCAACTATGACGACGAGGTAGGACAAAAATTCACGTTACTCCAGATTATTTACATGTGTTTTAATTTAACCATGACAAATACCAGATTATATGATATTTCATCGAATGTAATAGGGTTCACACGTTATTGGGAGTTTACATCTAAAAATACTCGAGCTTTTTGTTCAAAATATTGCGAACATTTTCTGAATGAGGTTACATTACATAAACAAATATATATCTGTAACCCATGGTGAAGGTGACACTGATATGTGACCTTAGTGTATAGTATCATGTCACGTGAGAAGTTATTCACAGTTGTCGTCTCTAGGGACATGGACGCATATAAGCTATAAATAAACAAATACTTCACAAAAATCGTTTTTAGAATATAACACTGTCAAAGAGAATTACAAATTCTCAAATTTATTCACAACGTCTATTTGATTTAAAGTTAGCAAACTCATTTTTAATTGACCGTATATTTTTTCTTTCCAAAAAAATCGCGATAAGGTGGAATATTTACAGATATCCAAAGGATCAGCTTTTGAAGAATTACCGAATGATACTGGTGAGTCACATTATTGTTGTCAAACTTATATAATACGTTGCCAATGGTTACAATTATTGCAATACTGTTGTTCATCAATGCAGGTGTAACATCAAAATACTTAAATTAAAATAAAAATACCTAAACAACTGAGGTGATATACTACTATTTTATTAATATTTAGAAACATTAGGCTCTTCTTAACTATTGTTCCAACATTCTGCTGACTTTCCATAGCGGACGATTTCTGTTCGTACTTAGAAGAGGGGGCAAGGGGGTGGTAGCTGGTACAGGTAAAATAAAAAGGCATTTACGTTTTTACTGGAAATAAAACGAAAATTCCATTTACAGTAAAAAATAGGTTTTTACACTTTACAGATAAACCAAATTCCTAATTACATTTTTATTTTATGTTTGATAATTTGTGTTTAAAAATCAAAACTGGAAATTGCGTACGAATTTCGACATTTAATGTGGAAAATGCTTTATACGCTTACAAAAATAAGATTTTTCAAACAAATTACGGACGAATAAAATAGCTGATTACATTTTACCCCTTGCCCCTGTCTACGATTTTACGTTTTTTTATTTATTAAATTATTATGAAAATAAACACAATTGATTACAGCTTACGAAAATATCCCTTGCCGACCCTCTTAGAAAGTACTCTTTCTTATTTCAAAATGTCAAAGCAGTATCCGTTTACTAGTTTCAAGTGAAGAGCACAACGTTCTTTTCATTTAAAATTGGTAAGCAGGAGCACGATTGTCAGACTAACAGCTGGTGTCAACACATCATTGACCCATTGTCCTTCCTTACATAAGTAACACACATAAACGGTGACAACACACAACCCGCGACAGGGATGAAAAAAAAGCGCTTAAAACTCGTCAAATTCGCAGTATTACTTCATTAATGTACGGCAACTCGTTAATCGTTAACGTTCTCGTAGCCGTACTTTAACCATCATATATCATTCCGTGACAGCCCCTAGTATCCCATGATTCAGTGTACTCAGTGTCCACTCATTGCAATGTACATATTATTCAGCAAACAAAGACAATATAACATGACCGGGAGGCATATTTTGACATGGATTCACGTGATATGCTTGATGTGCGATAGGTAACAATTAATATTACAATGTGATTGCCCCCCTTCTTGTGATATGTTCATCACTTACAACTCAAACAATACTAATAAGTAACTTATAAACAATGACAAATGAGTTGACCTCTCTGTGACACCCAAAGCTGTTACAGGAGCTATTGAAATATATTTACATCCTGAATAACGTATATGTGTTACTTTGATTTTAGATTCGTTGACGGGTGAAGAAATGGAAGAAATACAACAAATCAGTTACTTCGCCGATTTTCTCGTCGACCCTTGTCATTGATCTGAAGTGGAACCTCTATTTCCATTGCATTGATTTTTCCAGCTAATAATATATGTCTATACCCTAGAAATACTGACGTAAATCTTCTGTGAACACATATACTGAAAATATGTCTGATACGTTGAGGCCATAAATATGCTAATTGCACACACGTTTAATTTGTAATATTCATATTTCAGTTATATTTTATTACTTATATCTAAATAAAACCATGTTCATATAAATAATGAGAGCGTCGAAAATAACGAATTCTTTGGGTCGTAACACATGAACTTATTGCGTCAAAGAAACGTGTTCCTTCATTGGCCAATTTTCTATTCAATTCAGTGACAATTCATGGGTGTTTTAAATCTAATGAATATCTGAAATAATCTTACATTACCCAACCTAATTTGAGATTTGTAATACAATTTCCCAGTGTGTACCTATGTTTAAGTTTGAGTGCAAACAATACAATGTATTTACTATATAATACGATGTTCATGTCGATCTCAATACAGTAATTGCCGATATTTGTTGAAATTATATTGTTAATGAACCATAGATTTCCACATGTTAAATATGTAAATCTATATACCTTCAAATCTGAAAGTGTTGAATATCGCTGCTTTTCTGATCGGCTGTGCGTTGAACCCCATTCAGATGGCGAAAATGAAGGTGCATATTTTGGGTTCATGATAAATAATAATCCGATTTTAGGGTCTGAAACATGAAGTATGGAACAACAAAAATAAAAAAAGTGTATGTTTTCGTCCATAATTCATATTTAACAAGTTTCTGTGACGTCCTGGCCTTGAATGATATTTGGTATGTTTGGCCCTACTCCGGGGTGTGGGGAATAATAAGGGATATGGGACCTACTCCGGGACATGGGACCTAATAAGGGATATGGGGCCTAATAAGGGATGTGGGGCAAAATAAGGGATATGGGGTCGACTCCGGGATATGGGGCCGAATAAGGGATTTGAATTCGCGTTACATGTTTTCATTCCAATCGATCATAATAAAACTAACCTCTAACATCAAATAACAATAATGAGAGGAGTCTCGATTGTCATGATTTTGTCTTCGTGTATGTCCCCTTAAAGTAACCAAACATTAATAAGCCTAATTTGTTCATATGCTTATTATTTTCTTAAAAGTCATCTCAGTGACTTATGTCCCCATGACCTTCTAAAATGCAAACATCTGAATAGTTGACCTGGAATATATTTAAGGTAGAGATGCAGTTTACCTGACAGGTATTTTAATTAGTTAATTAGGAAACCAAGGTGACCTCCCTTGTCCACAAAACTATATATTTTCGGAAAGCTTGTTGTACGAGTTTTAAAATTTTGCTAGTATTTTTTTATGGACACTGTAGTTTGAAATATGCACAAAAATGTGCTTTTTTGGTCAAAAGTGATTTAAAAAAATTAGCTCCTAAACCATGCTTCTGTTTCCTGTCAAAATTGGTTTATGGGTACATCTGTTTACTATGAAGAAAGTGCTGTCTTAAAAATTGTCTACCCGTTGTCAATTTTGCAGGGCAGCAGCTCAAATTTCACTACTTCAAGTTTATGCATAAATTAATACCCAAACTAGTCGTCTGTACGATTGTTGTAACACTGTTTAACCAAAAACAATGCCCCGACGGCGTTTTGAAGATAAACACATTGTCAATCATTTGTGAAAATTTCAAAACAAAAGGTCAAAGCGTCTAGGAGCTATTTTTTCTGGTTCTGGGATGTGCACTAAAAAGGAGCAGAGATAAGTGCTAATTTGCATAACAATTCACTCAGTAAGAAGTTTGCTAATGCTCATAATTACAATGGATGTAACACTTTCAAATTTAAATGTATTATCGTTTTGTCAAAAGTTAAATAAAGTGCATAATATGGAGATCCCGTCATTTTTTTGTTCACCAAGTTACTTTTTTATTATTTATGTACAGCCTTGCTAAATCTTGCTAAGCATTTAAAAGAGAGACTGTTTGCACCTGTTATCTATATTTTAAAATCGTTTTTTGAGTATGTTCTAATATTCACAATTCTACAAAATTTTAACAGTCTATAGCCAAGACTGTTTGGATAATAAAAAGCAAAAAAAATGTTCACTCCCAAGTGCCCACGAACCTGCATCTTTACCCTAATGAATCGTTCCCCAAATAACACCATAATTAAAATAATTAGTAATAGTAGTAATACTTGTTATTCATAATCTCCTGCAACACGTTCTGTTCGAAGTGGGTCTCATGCGACGTATACAACGTGTGTAATGAACATACAAATTCAAACACATTTCCTGACTATAACGATTTAAATAATTTACAACAATTAAAAAAAAGACGTGCTTCTAAAATTATCCAAGATACTTTAATTGAGTTCACAATAATATGTTAAGTTTATCTTGCCGAGTTCGTCAAATTGAGCTTATATCAAATCACAACAAAACGTTTTAGTGAACACATTTATCCTGAACTTACTGCGCCCTCTACTGAAGCAGCGTTTATTTTGCAAACATGTAGCCTTTTTCCACGAAATGTCTCGGCCTGCGACCTCATATCGCAAAAGCTTCCTCGCATTTGAACGTTATTCTTTACTTAAAAAACGACTATATATTTAAAACGTCCATAAAAACAGAGCTGTCTTCTAAAAGCTGCCCTCTACTGAGAAGACACGAGAACACAAGGAGACTGAAGCAGAGTTTATTTTTCAAACATAAAGTTATTTCCCACGAAATATCTCGGCCTACGACCTCATATTCCAGACGATTTCTTGCACTTGAACGTTATTCTTTACTAATGAAAACTCGACGCGACGATTTAAAACATCCATAAAAACAAAGCTGTTTTCTAAAAGCTGTCCTCTAAACAATGTAATGTACATTCGAGTAGTATAAATAAAACAACTCAAAGTAACCGGCATGGCACGAAATTATAACGAGGCCTAATCCATTAAGCTGTATGAGTGTTTTGTTTACTATGGTAAGATTGGAATGATTTGTGTAATACAGCTTTAACACTGGGTTGTGTTGTAATTATTAACTGATAGTGGTAAATGGTGCGTTATAAAAACAATGTTGCACTCCGGTTCTGGAAATGTGTTGATCAATCTTTATAATCACTGTTGTTTGGGATTCTGACATGTAGCTGTAATGAGAGGATTATTTGGAATATTATAATGTCTTTGGATTGTCTTTTAAGATTAATGTGTAAATTAGTTGCAATAACAGCAAAAACTTTCAACCAGGAAAATTTAGGGGAAAAACTTTTTGAGGTCAAGATGTAGATGTACGAATGATAGATGGATGAATTGCTCCTGTTTTGTTTATTAATTGACTGAACGCATAATTTTCAGCACAGGTTCCGAATGGCCGAGGTGTAGGACCATATTTTTCGGCAGCAGGGTGATACTTTACTGTAGGGTACTTTTTTTTACATTGCTTGCATGGAGGTATAAGTAGCACGCCAGGAAATTTGCCATGTTTTAGTCGTGTATTATCCAACACAGATTTTAACTGATAGGCCGTAGAACGAATTTTCCAAGTTGAATCAAGTTTCACTTTAAGATATCCTTCGTCCTCTATTGTCCTTTGTAATGTCCGGATGAAATACACCACGTGTCAGCATTGCATCGATATATGGCTTTTTTAGACCCTTACAGGGAACACTGCCACCCCATGAGACAATTTTATGAACGTCTATCTTTGCTTGGCAAATGGTGGTTGATTCGAGAATATTGTTGCTGTCACGCTGTCCTGGTTCGCACGGCTTAAGTTTCTCGTGATAGTATAGTAGTCTTGACAGAACAATCTCATCACAGTCAGAAAACCCATGTAACAAACCGATCTGAAAGTATACCAACATGTCATAAACAATTGTTGTGAATAAATACCAGTGAATAATTGCAAAGATTTTGCATTATAGTGTTATGAAAACCCCATTACACCATAACATAACATTTCTCATTCACTGCTGAAATATCATTGATTAAATCACAGCTCTCTGATTTGTCGTCCTATTTGCTCGAATGTCATTAACAACCCCAACCCCCCCCCCGGACACGAATGTAGTCGTTGTGCAGGCAACTCGGAAATTTAACGAATTTCGAATTTCTACATGACAGTATTTTTACAGTATTTATAAATGATAGTAATAGCAACATTCTGGGAGATAATTTCGTGTTGAAGAACATGTATACATTTTAAACACGAACTAGCATTCCAAATATTGCTCAATCTTTTTAATTTATTAAAAAGAACAGCTAAAAAATCCACATAACAAACATGAGAAATAATGGACAGTCATTGACTACAGGTAACAGGATATATGGACCAGTCACCAATATTTGATCGTAAATTTGATAATGTGCCAATGATATTTTTCTGAACCGTGAATTTTCTGATGTATCACTATTGCCTCACACAATAGTAATTCAATTACAAAGTAAGAAAGGTACATTGTGTATCGTATTGTGACATCTATATACAAATCTCATGCACCATAACCTCTACTGTTGGTTTTGACACTCAACTAAATGTTAACGTTCTCGACAACGCACGCTATTGGTACATTTTTGATATGATTGACTTTAAAGTGGGCGTGTCTCTATTATTTTTATTTCAAAGACTCACCATCTCTAGCATCAGTAAATATGGATGTCTCGGGAAGTTTCGCTGTTCGTCTGTCAAATTGTCTAAATGTGATTCAAATTTCTGTAAAGCATCGTGAAGCAGCCTGTTATCTGATACTTCTTTTTTCTGATTCTCCAGAGCGAATTGTAGACTTCGTAAAAACTAGTAAGAATAAAAAAACACAGAGTTGTGTCAGTATACATTCCAACATTGTTGTGCACTTTCCCACATTAAAGTTTATAATTGTTCGTGTTTTTGTCTCATACTTGTTTGCAATCTGATTAAAATCTGATGTAGTGTACGGGCTTTAATTATTTTGGCTATAAACTTATTTTAATTTTTATGTTTTATTATATTTGTTATTAATGCCCTTTTATTTTATTATTTTACTTTGATTTTGATTTTGCGATTTTTTTTAATTCCGCCCTACCTACATCTGAGCCGATGCCTATGTAACGAAATTTCAACGAGACCCACTATCGACGATTTTAGTCAACGAATCACAGACCTCCTTCTATAGCGCACATGATGACGTCACCGGGCAGAGTCAGGTGGCAAACACACTCAAATAAAATGGCGGATTATACCGACGTTAGCGACCGTAAATAACACGGCTTTTCGGTAAGTTTATCATTGTCAAATGCAACGAAAGTTATGTTTATGTTAATATTGTGGCTCGAATGGTTCGACTTTAGATCGTTATTTCGCATAGTTATTCTGGGAGTGACGATTTTGTTTCCACCGGTTCGACCGAACACCAGTGTCTTTTTCCAGTCGCCTGCCCTGGAGACGGGTGATGTTTTGTTGACGATCGGGCCAAAATCGTCTACGGTATTGAAGCTGTAAAAATTCATCAAATTGTATCAACATTTTGTACATTATACAATAACTCTTTATTAAAGTAATTGAGCTGATTTGGACTGGAATAAAATATTTTTTATTTGGAACACATCGCAATTGATCAGGAAATATTTGTTTGCTCCAATTTTCTGCGTCGATACCGTGGGCCGGTGACCGTTATACAATTTAAAATCAGTTTGCATTGTTTACTATAGCTGTTTACAGTGTTCTAATCATTACGATTTACTTATTTTTTTGCTTCCATTCTA